GTTAACATTTACTATTAACAAACTGCACTTCTTGTTAATGTTAATGTCAATATTTAGAGAGTCTGTATAGGCCCACTATATGTGTTGTAGCCATTAAATAAGCGCATTTAGTTTCATTTTTGTTAAAATATTATAATGTTATTTATTTTTTTTACATCTATGCTGATTATGAAAATTGAACAGCATGAGTAAGATGCGCAATATATCGGGAGATATGATGGGTCAGACATGATTTTGACCACTAAATTAAGTTTTGTTTTGTAGAAAGCCTTTCTTTAAAGTGAATTTCGTTTTGTATAAATTGCATCTTAATTTTAATCAATTTTTCATCAACCAATTGCCTGGATATAATAAATAAGAAGCAAATATAGCAGACAATATGATCATGGAGGCGCGGGCGCGATTGCATTGCACGTGAACTGGAGCACATCGCATCATAAATTTTCTCATTTAAATAATAGTGTGTGTGTATGTACATATATATATATAATTGCGCAGCTCCCCCTGTCACTGATCTAGCACCCCTAAAAATGATCTGGCGCCGCCCCTGCATGAGAACGACGTCGTAGCGTTAAGAAGGCTTCGTAAAACCCAGCCCTGGATTCGGGACAACTGCTTTGATTTCGGGACACCCATAGATTCAGGCCCACCTCGACTTAATCCAGGCCCACCCATCTGTCACGTTCTGCATCCGCCACTGCTTCTTATTTATTAAATCCAGGCAATTGACCGTTCGCAAAAGCCACGCCCCCTAGTTATTGTTGCTACGCCAGTCAAACAAATGGTCAAACACGACCAGCGCGACAGATTGCCATGACGGGAAGAGGTATCCCCGTGCGTGTCAGTGACCTTTTTTGGAGCAATACCTCAGCGATATCCTCCAGATCGAGGCAAAAGGGGTTACAGTATGCAGTGGATGGATATATTCAAAATATAAAAATACGCAATGAAGGAGACACGACTACTATCAAGGCGAATGCGTATACCGGTCTCAAGCTAAATCTGAGAAACCCCATGACCTGTTACCTCAAATTCAACCAGCACAGCCTTGAAGAAGATTTTATAAACTGGTTCAGTGGCTAATGTTTGGAGTTAGAAATATATAACTCGCGCTGCATATTTAGTAATTTTGCCTCAGATACAGGATTATATATTCACTTTAACAAGCAGGTTGTTCCTTACCACGGCAACCACTTGCGTGTCATGCTGAATGCCATTTTCGTGTTTAAAAAGTAACTAAACATAAGAGACGGAAAGATGCAGATAACCATAACGTTATATTATTTAAGGTTATTTCTATTCGTTACTATATTGATATATGAACTGATGTTGTTAAGTAAGCTTCATGCTTTCCCCGTTGCGAACGTGCACTGTAACGTTGTGTTATGATGTGTGATTGGACAATGGCCGTTTTGTGGGAGGGGCCTGCGAACGGTCAATTGGTTGATGAAACATTGATTAAAATTAAGATACAATTAATACAAAACGAAATTCACTTTAAAGAAAGGCTTTGTGCTTTCTGTTTGAGGTCTGTGGAAGTTTTAAAGCAGTCTTTAAAGCAGTGCCGCTTTCCCAGAGCGAGTCTCAGGTTCCTAGGGGACATCATACGACGTTTATAACATTTAAAAAGACACATCATGTAGTAATTAATGTATATGAATCTTAGTTGATTATAGGCTATTAGAATTGGTTGCTGAGACGGAGACGCGCAGATACGGCAATTAACGCAGTGTTTGATTTGTGATCGTGCTGTGCTTATTCAATTAATTCGAGTAGCATGTATATTGAACAAAGCTTAAATCATTTAAATATACATACAATGATATACAATATCCTATTTGAGTTGATATTACTCTTGCCAAGCTGTGGTTTCTGAGAGATGCACGCATTGACGGATTTGCGCTCGTTTCATTTTTACTCTCACTCATTCACTTCACTCATTATTGCATAGATATTTTAGATAAGGTATTTGGCTTTGGGAACACCCCTAATCTACTCCAGTAAAAAAAAAAAATCTGGAGGATGACCCACTCACATTTTTTTTGCTTCCGACGCCCATGCAGAGCTGGCCTCGGATCGAGCTACCAAGCAACACTTTCTGATGTGTAATTGTTCAAGTTCAGACAGGTAATCTTTCTCTCAAAATCGTTCAATACTGTTTATGCATCAGTAAGTCAAGCCAGTGACTAAAATATCAACTTCACATCGTTTCTTTTAGTAGGATGGGAAAAAACTTATTTAAATTGTGAATAAATTATATACAGAAAGCGATCAAAGAACAACCTTTCCACAGCGCGAGTTTATCTGGACATTTGCCAAACTCGTTATGAATTCAATGATGCACGTTACACTGCACAACGAAGCTCTTACTGTATTTACATGATCGTGTTTGCATTGGTGAAAACATTAGAGAGAGTGCAGAAACTGCGTTGCAGTGATAAGATCTTCATTCTCGCGATCAACAGACTGTGATCTGCGCGCTCAATGCTCAGTCATCACGGCAACATTGTATGTGATGGGAATAGATCTAAATACTTTAAAAACTTCTCACGATTCGTTAATCTCGATAGCTGTAATAGTAAAAACGTATAATAGCTGTAGTAAAATTATTCGAGAGAGTTTCACATGTAATACATAGCTATTTCATATGCAAGCATGTCAGCCAATCACAGCAGTGGCCGCGGTTCCACTGAATCCCACAGCAGACACGCCCCTTCAAACAGAGCGTTCAAATCAGAGGCTAAAATCAGGCTAGGAAAAATGCCTTTTATTTCTAAATTATGACTATTTTTGATCTAAAAAACATACTAACATTATAAGGGCAACCCAGGAAACATTAAAAAAAAAAAAAAAAAAAAAAAACATTCTAGGGCACCTTTAAGCACCAAGTTGCTATCAAAAGCTGATTTTGATCGCTATCGTAGACATCAGTGTTCATATTTGAACTTTTAAACTTTTATCCAAGTTTCTATGATAATTTGAACTATTGCATCACAGAAATAATGATACTATGAGGTTGAAAGGAGTGTTTTTGAAGCTGTTTCATGACAACTCATGTTTGAATGTTGCGATATGATTTTGTCAAAGTTTAATAGACAGACGAATTGAAGGATCGCGTGAGTGTTTGAATTGAGATCACAGACTTTTAAAGAATCATGCAGCTCTATTGTCTTATCTCTCTCTCAGCATATGGGTAGCTTTTCAGTGCTTTCAGTCTCACGTCTCTTCCACGCGTCCACTTGGGATATATTACGTCACTCAACACTCATAGATAACGACACATTTCATCCTCTGTTGGAACGAAAGTGGCTAACTTCTGTCAAACTCGTCTATAAGCAAGGACAAAAATAAAGCAATTGAATTTGAATTAATATCGAGTCTGGAATAAAAAAATAGATTTTAGAATCGTAAAAAAAAAAAAAAAAATCGCGATAGCTAGGTGAAACGATTTTTTCTCCCAGCCCTAGTAAAACGTCGTTTTGTGTGTGTACCTTTAAATGCAAATGAGCTGCTGCTCCCGGCACAGAGGGCGGAGCTTCAAGAGCTTGTGTGTGTTAGCAGCTTCATGCAGACAAAACTGTTCTGCCTTTTATGTTTAAACTAAAGTCGGACAATGATGGAGAGACTCAAGAAGAAGTGACAACATGTAGAATGCAAAAAGATGTTTCTGAATGGTTAGTTGATGAATTTATGTTGCTGATGTGGAGATAACTATCTTCAAGTCTTTGATTAGCATATTCTGTCATGATAATCCATAAAATCGCTCATGTGGGAACTGTTGTAAGATGCCTACAGAGTTGCATGCTATTTGTGTTACTTACTGTATTGCATGTTAAAAGACGGATGCGACAGCTTGAGCAGACTCACAAATGTGTTCTTCTACGGGGTTTATGTAAATTTTAGGGTTGGGGATGTCACTAACGCGTGAGGAATGTCGTGTAACGTTAGTCCCTAACAGCCGTTTGTTGTAGTCCTTAAAAAACGATTTCTTTAAAAGCAAATATCTTTCTTTGCTTTGAACTTTGAGCGTTGTAACTTTGCAGATGTTGTTTATGCTCAAACAGCAACATTACACACTAACTAAAGTTAGAAAAGTGAAATCATAATCAACCACCCCTTTAATAAATTTAAGGCAACGGGTTTCCTCACTTTTTAAGGTAAGTCACCTGATAATTTTTTACAGTGAACAAGATGCACACTTTACCGGATTTTACTGGATTGTGAATAGTACTCTTATTTTGATAAGCCGATATCGTTTCTTAAATCCTATTAATCGATCTTATAGTTTATGCTGTTTTTAGCTGATGCATGAACAAAACTTTATTTGTAGCACACCTGCAATTCAATAAATTGCAATAAGTTTTGTGATGTGTTATTAGATATGAAAAAAGGTATCAGCTTTCAAATTCTGTCAATTTTATTATGAAGTTCGAACAATAAATAACATTTTGGCGCTCTTTAAAGGAGAAGTACAGGTATGTTTTTTTTTTTTTTTTTTTTTTAAATACATTCTCTTAACCCAGAATCATGACATTTGTGTCAGTACCCAGCCTTCCTAAATAACACCCGAGTTTGTCTGAGATGCGTATCAATTTCATCACGTATTTTCAGTGAAAGCCGCAAGATTAGGGGAGCAGAAGAGCAAGAAGCTCCTTTGAAAACCCTTTCTAAAGGCTACAAACTCTTTTAATCACTGTGTGTGTTAGCGCTTATGTGTCAGTACAACAAACTTTATTGAAAAGAGCCATGTGTGTATCTCTGCACCTGTGACTCATTAGCTGGAACTTCTGTGCAAAATTACTTTAAAATAAAAGTTTTCTCTGTGATGCAAGGCTGACAGAGAAAGCTGAATTTGAGTGATCTCCTATGTGAACTAAGAACAACTGTCTGAAGTTGCAGAACGCTGGTTCGTGGAAGGGTGAGAAATGCTCGAGACCATAATGTCTTTGTCTGTCTGTTCTCTCTGTAGATTTCTATCTTTCTCTCTGTTGTGTCTTCAGATACAAGCGGTTTGCAGAGCATCTGGCACAGCTGGAGGAGGCGGAAGGGACCTTTGATCGCTTCACACTGAGCTACCAGTACTTCGGAATTCAGCGGCGATCCGACAACGTTCTGGTCCTTAGGGAATGGGCCCCGGGAGCGGAGGCTGTCTTCCTAACTGGGGATTTCAGTAAGCATCACTACATTCCTGTAATTCAGAGACCACTGCCTGTCACATTCAGGCGCAAACCCTTTTTAATGGATAGATCTACGAAGCAAAGTACAAGCGGTTTATTGTTGCCAAGGAAACAGGCTTTAATTTTAGGCCGCTAATGCTTGAAATGCTCTTCGCGTTTGCAGGGTGAGAAATCTGCGGGGCTTGCATTGAGTGATGTATTAAGCCGTAATGATGTGCGCTGCCAATTGTGTGCTTGTCTGGATTGTTTACATGTAGTCTGACAGTATTGTTCTTTTAGAGACGTCAAGAGACAGAGAGGAAGAGGGAGTTGGACTGATGTTCTGTTGTTAAGTTTTACTCCATTAAAAATGGATTTGGTGTCTGTTAGAGGCAGGGTTCAAGATAAGGCTAAATTTCCTTCTAATCTTGAAGTAACAGGAACACATCCTGCAGTTTGCGATGTCTTGACTGCCAAACGTCAGCATTGTGTCTGTAAATGTAACTGATGCCCTGGTGGGAAAGCGTGTCGGAGATCGATTGATTGACCAATTTGACAAACTTCATCCAAGCTTTGTTTACACAAAGAAAGGAAAGTCCTCTGTCGTATACAAACTATGCATACTTCTTTGTTAACTTTGCCAATCATTAAAGGTTCACGAGGACACTCAGAAGCTCATTTTATGTTAATTTGAGGTCAGTAAGATTTTGTAATGTTTTTGAAGGAGAAGTCCCTTATGCTCATGAAAGCTGCATTTATTTGATAAAAGATACAGTAAAAACAGGAATATTTTGAAATATTATTTCAATTGAAAATAACCGTCTTCTAATTTAATATATTTTAAAATGTTATTTCCTGGGATGGCAAAACGTCTCGGTTACGGATGTAACCCTCGTTCCCTGAGTAGGGAACGGAGATGTTACGTCGGATGACGGAGAATGGGGGTTTCGCCAGAAAGCCTATCATCTTCGAGTATTAAAAAACGAGCCTATGGCAATGAAATGCCATGGGTCTGCGGAATTTGCATAATGTATCTCCGCCCCACCGCGTGGGTATTTAAGGAGAGACACCTGCAACAGCAGATCATGTCTTCGCTGAGGAGCCGAGACTGAACTCAGGCGTCTACCCAGCGGTACAGCGGAAGTGGCAAGGAGACGTAACGTCTCCGTTCCCTACTCAGGGAACGAGGGTTACATCCATGACCGAGACGTTCCCTTTCGTAGTCACTCCGAGTTACGTCGGACGACGGAGAATGGGGGTCCCTGTGTAATCACGCCACCTTCACAGCTGTCTTCCAGTGCCCTGCGAAGTCTGACCTCCCTGTCGTGATATAGGCACGGAGGAAGGAGTCCTACTTAACACAGGAATACCAAGGTACACTGGGAAGCATATCTCAGGGGAGATATGCCGCAGCATGCCTACCCGTAGGGAGGACTTAAGAATACACATATGGCCCGAGGGGGGCTTCATATGGAGGAACACTGGAGTGACCAGCCCGTAGGGTGGCAACTTTCAACTCCAGGAGTGGCAAGGTGGCTTGCCGAGGGAAAGACACATGCTCAAAGAGGCTTACAGTGGAAATACACATGTGGGGGTTACTCAGGGGAGGAACCATGCACACGGAGGCACCTAGCCGACGCACAGGCAATAGACACTGGCGCCAGCGTCAACAGTGCTGGAGGAACTCAGGGCTTCAGAGAGGAAGGCTCACCTGAGGAGAATATCGCACGTATCCAGTCCGTGGAGTGGAATGGCGAGCAAGCAAAGACACCTAACGACTCCCATGTTAGCTTGAAAAAGACAGTACATGGGAGGAGACTGGCTCCACTCGGAGATTGTAGAATCTGCCGAATGTGTTAGGTGTCGCCCAGCCTGCAGCTCTGCAGATGTCTGTTAGCGAGGCGCCATGCGCTAAAGCCCAAGAGGACGCCACACTCCGGGTGGAGTGGGCGGTCACACCAAGGGGGCACGGTCGGCCTTGCTGCTGGTATGCCAAAGCAATGGCGTCCACTATCCAGTGAGACAACCTTTGCTTGGAGAGAGCCTTTCCCTTCAGCTTCCCACCATAACAGACAAAGAGCTGGTCTGAGGTCCTGAAACACTGCGTCCTGTCTACGTAAGCACGGAGAGCGCGTACTGGACAGAGCAGTGCCAAGGCTGGGTCTGCCTCCTCCCGGGGCAGCGCTTGCAGGTTCACCACCTGGTCCCGGAAGGGAGTGGTGGGAACCTTGGGCACATATCCAGGCCGGGGTCTCAGGATCACGTGAGAGTGACCCGGCCCGAACTCCAGGCACGCTTCGTCAACGGAGAATGCGTGCAGGTCCCCTACCCTTTTGATGGAGGCCAGTGCAACCAGGAGCGCTGTCTTCATTGACAGGAACTTAAGCTCAGCTGATTGCAGAGGTTCAAAGGGAGCCCTCTGCAGGGCATTTAACACCACTGAGAGGTCCCAAGAGGGAACGAGAGGAGGGCGAGGAGGATTCAGTCTCCTCGCTCCTCTCAGGAACCTGATGATCAGGTCGTGCTTTCCAAGAGACTTACCTTCAACTGCTTCGTGATAAGCGGCGATAGCGGCCACATTCACCTTCAGGGTGGAGGGAGACAGCCTTCGCTCCAACCCGTCTTGCAGGAAGGAAAGCACGACACTGATCGAGCATCTCCTGGGATCTTCTCGGCGAGAAGAGCACCAGTTGACGAAGAGGTTCCACTTCAACGCATAGACATGTCTCGTGGACGATGCTCTAGCGGAAGTGATGGTAGCCGCCACCGCTGGTGGCAGGGTACTCAAACCTGCCTCGTCCCGTCCAGGAGCCACACGTGGAGGTTCCAAAGATCGGGACAAGGGTGTCACAGGGTGCCCCGTCCCTGAGAAAGGAGGTCCTTCCTCAGAGGAATTGGCCAAGGAGGTGCTGTCGCGAGGAGTATCAGTTCGGAGAACCAGGTCCGGGTGGGCCAATATGGCGCAACCAGAATGACCTGCTCCTCGTCCTCCTTGATCTTGCACAGGGTCCGTGCGAGAAGGCTCACTGGGGGAAACGCATATAAGCGGAGGCCCCGCGGCCAGCTGTGCGCCAGTGCATCCGTGCCGAGCGTGCCCTCGGTCAGGGAGTAATACAGGGCGCAGTGATGAGTCGTGGGAGGCAAACAGGTCTACCTGTGCGTCCCCGAACTGGTCCCAAATCAGCTGGCCCAACTGGGGATGGAGTCGCCATTCGCCGGAGATGGGCCGAAGCCGTGACAGCTCGTCGGCTGCAAAGTTCCGATCTCCCGGAATGTAGATAGCACGAAGGGACCTCAGGTGCTTCTGACTCCTTAGGAGGAGGTGGCGTGCGAGTTGCGACATACGGCGGGAGCGCAGACCACCTTGATGGTTGATGTACGCTACTGTCGCTGTATTGTCTGAACAGACTAGTACGTGTTGACCCCTGAGCAACGTTCGAAAACGGTGCAGGGCAAGGCGTACTGCCAGCAACTCGAGGCAATTGACATGCAGAAGGCGCTGGGGTCTTGTCCAGGAGCCCGCGGCAGCATGTCCGTTGCACATGGCGCCCCAGCCCGTGGACGAGGCATCTTTGGAGACAACAACATGCCTGGAAACTCGTTCTAGGGGAACTCCGGCCCGTAGAAAACTGAGGTTCCTCCACGGGGTGAAGGTCTGACGGCAGGTCGGAGTCACTGGGACTCGGAGCGTGCCATGATGCCATGCCCACCTCGGGACTCAATCGCGAAGCCACAGCTGAAGCGGTCTCATATGAAGCAATCCGAGTGGCGTTGCCGCGGCTGCAGATGCCATATGCCCCAGGAGCCTCTGAAACAATTTCAGTGGGACCGCACTCTTGCCCTCGAACTGTCGAAGACAAGTCAGCAGTGAGTGTGCGCTCTCGCTCATAAGCTGCGCGGACATGGCGACCGAGTCGATCTCCATACCGAGAAAAGAGATCCTCTGCACGGGGCAGAGTTTGCTCTTCTCCCAGTTGACCCGAAGGCCCAGACGGGCTAGGTGCCGGAGCACAAGGTCTCTGTGTTCGCAAACCTGATCTCGAGAGTGAGCTAATATTAGCCAGTCGTCGAGATAATTCAGGATGCGAACCCCGTGTTCGCGTAGGGGAATAAGGGCTGCCTCGACGACCTTCGTAAAGACGCGAGGAGACAGAGCCAGCCCGAATGGGAGAACCGCGTACTGGTATGCCTGCCCCTCGAAAGCAACCCAAAGAAACGGTCTGTGTCGAGGTAAAATGGAGACATGAAAGTAGGCGTCCTTCAGGTCTATCGCTGCAAACCAATCCCGTGGCCGCACGCATTCGAAAATGCGTTTGGCCGTGAGCATCTTGAACGGCAGCCTGCGAAGGGAGCGGTTCAAGACGCGCAGATCCAGGATTGGCCGTAACCCACCGGTCTTCTTGGGGACAATGAAGTACGGGCTGTAAAACCCTGACCTCATTTCGGCTGGAGGGACAGTCTCGATTGCACCCTTCGCCAGCAGGGTGGCAACCTCCGCTCTCATGACCGGGGCATTGGCACCGACCATCGTAAAGCGGACTCCCCTGAAGCGGGGAGGAGACCGTGCGAATTGAATCGCATAGCCGAGCCTGATAGTTCGGGCGACCCAGCGGGACAGGTTGGGAAGCTAGCTCCCAAGAACTGAACCAGCGGAATCATCCAAACCACAGACGTCCCCCCGGAGGGGCAGCGAAGCGGAGTGACCGGCCCAGGCGTGGGTGGCATAGCGGCCCGGTGCGGGGGCGCGGTCATACTCTGCGTCCTGACAGAGGAGACTAGGGAAGGACCAGCGTTCCACGGGGGTCTGCTCTGCCAGGGGTCTGGCGACAGAGGGGGACACACTGTCATCCGCGTCCTCAGGGACAGAGGGGGACGAGAGCGGCGAGGCCCGGGGGCGTCTCGCACTGTCATCCGGCTCTGTGTGCTCAGTGATGGATATTTCGGTTCTTTCTTTAACCACATTAGGGTGCTGCCCACCCGTGGGTGAGCAGCGGGGAGTGGAGAACAAAATATT